GTAGTAGTAGTAGTAGTTGCTGTCGTTGTTGCTGTAGTGGCATTATTCCTAGTCTTCTTATTATTCTTACTCTTAGTCTTTTTATTGGTATACTTCTTCTTATTTTATGATTTTTTGAACATCATACCATGATTCCCTCCCTCCCTTGCTGCATCCCTCTCGCACTCCGGCCAAGCTCGCGGCTCAATTCTGCCCAAAGCAGACCCACCGGCCTGGCGCACAATCTGAAAGCGTGGGCCCAGCGCAGTTCCCGGTTTAGAGCCCTGGCCTCCACATCCCCTAAACCCTAAACCCTGGCCTCCACATCCATGAACACATGCGGATTGCCAGCTGCGTGCTTGACGTGACTGACAGCGACGATGGGGCCCGGCGGAAGCGCCTTTGTCCTGGCACAGAGCAAGACCTCGAGTAACATACTGTTATTATATATATATATGTGTATATATATATATATTATATATAACCTACTGTGACATACTATAACATACTGTAGCTACTCTTGCATACTATGACAGACTATAAATACAATACAAATAACACACTATATTCTACTACATGATAATATAGTTGAGTGTATTTTAGTATGACATATTACCCCTCCCTGGCCGGGCTTTTTCCGGGTCCCGGTCAGCCACACCGCCAAGAAGCCCAGGAGCCCCACGGCAAGCAGGACCCCCAAGGCAACCATACTGCCAAGGGACCCACCTCAGCAAAACGTGGGTCCGGGCCGCTGGAGAGCGCTTGAAGGTCAGGGGACTTAGTAAGGAGGTTTACAATAAGTACCCTAGTTGGGGCTGTAATCAATCATGACTGTAGCTGCCCTACTTCTCCCTACTTATAAGTCATACTTGCTAAGTTTCCTGCTCCTTCAACTAGTAGCTCTTGGTGGCTCAAGTCAATGCTCCGCAACAGCACACGCAAAAAGAATCTCGAGGGCACAACAGTGAAATTCTAAAATGCCTGACATAACTGAAACCTGATTATGCCCTTCTAGAAACTCTTTTTGCATTCCACAGAGAGGTAAGTCTCGGACTGCCTTCGGCATTGACCTGCCCAGCTTGCGACTGAAACCTGCATCCCGTGTTCCTTACGACCCAGAACAAGCACGGCGAAAGAGCGAGCCGCGAGACAGACGGAGAGAGAGCGAGAGAGAGAGAGAGAGAGAGAGACAGAGAGAGTGACATGTGCCCGATGTCGGAGCAGCAGAGAGGCAGACAAAGTTCACCTGCTCCCGCCTCCAACAGCTCCAACTCAAACACCAGGACGGCACCAGGAGGAATGGGCCCAGCGCCTCTGCGAGAGAAATCTTTGCGGCGCGTTTGGAAGCTGCACGATACTGTGCTACCAGTGGGAGCTACTTGCATCTTACGATTCAGGTTCTGTGTCGAGCCCTCAAATGAACCCCCTGTGCTGAATACCACACCCTGTCGACGACTGACTTGCCTCTCTCTTTTTTAGTGTTTCCAGTTTTGCGCCGCCTCACAAGTACAGGGGCTGCAGCTACCGGCGGTCCTCGATCACCGTATGCGAGGTGGCTCGGCAAAATAATCTCCCACCTGAACAGCACAGAAGCTCCGAAATGAAGAATCTGAGCTTGGTCTCAACCCTGGTACCCGAAGGGCCCTCAAATGTGGTGCTTTTGTAATCGGTTTAGGGTTTAAGGTTTGGGGGGTTAAGAATATTCTAGTGCCTTGATACTTTTAGTACGCAATCGTACCCTCATCCTAGCCTCAGAAGACCCCAATAATACCTAGTAGTACCTCATGGCACCCAAATAGTTTGTACCTGAATAATTTTACTTCTATACTACTCTAGTGTTACGTTGCTAATACAGTACCAACATCGTACCCTGCTAGAACGCCTATAGCCGTACTTTTATAGTAGCCTTATGCTGCCGACAATGGCCCCGAAACCCTAAATCATCCTAAATCCTGAACCTCGCCGGGGCACTTTTCGCCCGCTCGCATGAGCTGCAAAGCTTCTGACCAGCCCGGGACCACCTCAGACGGCCTTCGATTCGCGGACTTCGGAGATTCCGTGTTTAGGCGCTTCGGGGTTCAAGGGGATTTAGCGGTTTTGGGGTTCAGGGTTTAGGGGTTTGGGCAAACCAAGCGGAAATACGCTGCACATCCGGGCCTGAAGATGACAGGATCTCCTCTGCGGTACCTGCAAAGGCCGATCTGTCTCCGCTGCATCCCTAAGTCCATGCTTATTTGCAAAGATCGTTGCTTCAATCAGGTGAAACTTCCTTGTGATGATGTATTCTTCATGTGTTACTATATGTCTCTATCAATTTCTATCCTTAGCTCGGCCGGAAGCGATCGAGGCTTCAGCGTCCGAAGTGCCTGTTCGAAAGACCCTCACTGCCGACGGTTGCGCACGAGGAATCAAACTCCGTGCCGTCCACAAGAGTGCCCTTGTAGTGACACCTTCGGTGACCATGACAGATACTTCAAGACGAAAGAGCGAGGTTCAATACCTCATTTTGATTGGGGTTAGAGAACCTAGAGTCATACCAACGGTTCTTGCAGTCATAACCCGCGAAACATGGCAACATACAGCGGCATCATTACCAGCAGCACAACCACTGCTGGCATCGCCAGCATCAGCATCAGGATCGTGATCGTAATCATGATTATCATCACCATCATCATCATCATCATCAGCATCAGCACTTGTAATCATGACCGTCGTCTCTTCTTCTTCTTCATGAGGCTACTGTTGATCATCTGCTGCTGCTGCTGCTGCTGCTGCTGCTGCTGCTGCTGCTGCTGCCGCGGCGGCTGCTGCTGCTGCTGCCGCTGCTGCTGGTCGCGGCGGTCGTAGTTGTGCGGTGGTCGTAGTTGTAGCTGCCGCAGCAGCAATCATGCAGGAGGGTAGCATGAGTAGTAGGAGGAGGGGCAGCAGTAGCAGCGGTAGCAGCCAGAAAAGTAGGGACTGCAAGAGCAGAGACAGTGGTGGCAGAAGCCCTCAAAGTTCTCCCCTGAAGCCTCCGCCCCACCCAAGCCTGCAGGGGTTGTTCGGACCAGGCCTGCCGAGCTAGAGAGCTCAAAGCCAGTGACAGCTGAGGAGCTCGGAAGCTAAGGTGGCTTGAAATGCACGGTTTAGGGTTTAGGGTTTAGGGTTTAGGGTCCCATTTGGCGGGGCAGTGGGCCCAGGATCTTTCCAGGGATCTCAAGGGATCCTCAAGGAGCTCGCTATGAATTCGAACGACAATCCCATCAAGACTGTTGTTGGACCACAATCTGATCGTAGCACTCAGGCAACTTCTGCAACAGCTACACTACACCGCGCCTTTTCAGCGGCCAGGCTGAGCGCGAAGCCCGGTACATCCAAACCTCAACCCCGGAACCTCGCCCCAAGCACCAACTCCCGTTCAGCCCTACTCCCCAGCGCCTCTCTCCGGACGGATTACTTTTGATCACCTGCACTCAGAGTCGGCGAGTTGACCAGTTACTGCACGAGATGTTCCAAAAAACCACACAGACTGCCCGCAGTACTGTAACCGCCGTGACCACTATCCGAAACATCCGCATGAACACTTGCCACTGGCAGCAGCATCATCAATCCATCCATCCATCCATCCATCCATCCATCCTTCCATCTATCAATCCATCAATCGATCACTCCATCACTCCATCAATCCATAATCATCATCATCACCATCTACTTCCTCCGCGTCGTCGTCAAAGTCTTCTTCATGTCGTCACGCAACATCACATAAGCCAGGACAAGGCAGAAGAATCCTCAGTCTGATTCTCACCGCCCCCATCAACACCAGTAGTCTTCACTTCTGGAAATGGTAGTGAAGGAGTGGTCGTATGCAGCAAGCCGGTCCTTGTAGCGCAGACCAGAGTTCGTCTCTTGGAACCCATGCCTCTCGGCAACACGTTGAGTCGTTTTGTCACTAGCTCCGTTAGCTGCATCGCGCTGCACATCACGGTAGGATGGAGCCTCGCGCACATCGTGCTTGCTTGCGGGCGTGCCTCTTCACCGAGTCATCCAGGAATTCCTCCTGCTTGGCGCCGCGGAAGCGCAACGCCTGGCACAAGTGACAATTTGGCTTTGCACAGTTTAATCGTCGAAGCATCGCCGGCTTACACTCCAAACGTCGTACATGCAAGTAAGGGTTTGCATGCTTGTTACATAGAGGCTTGGTTCCGATGCCAACAGTATGCGGCAAAGTGACATCACGGCACCGGAAAGCTGGTGCCGGACCACACGAAGAAGCCGTTCCGGAGAGTCAGCTCACTTGTCCAACAGCATGCGGGCTACTTGACCATGAACATTGCGAGCGAGCGGCGCTTGCGCTCTCCTCGGTCGCCATGCCAAACCAGTGGATCAGTTTAAGCGTGTCTGGATTCTAAACCACCTGTACCCTGTAACAGCTGCTTGTGGACTGTGGGTGTTGAGTGGCTAGTGGGGGACAGCATCCCAAGACAGGATGCCATGTGCGCAGCTTTAAAAGTCGTGTAGCTGCGGGAAGGCAAAGTCATTGGCTGCAAGCAGCAAGCCTGAACAAAAATGAATCAACATTCACGATGTCACTTGACTGACGAAACATGTACGTTGTGCGGCCAGCAACTGTTTCTGTCGCGCGCCGACAGCAAAGCAATCGTCAATCATGACTAGAGCTGCGCACGGAGCGCGCTGGCGGCTCATTATGTACATTGCGATCATCTCTTGGGCCGCTATGAGTACACATCGATTCACTACCATCTTAGCTGCTCCAGGCCGTGCGAAGAGTAGGACCTGCTAGAGGCAACAGGACTCTTTGCAGATCGATCGCATATAAACCCGGGACCCTCAGATGGCCTCCACACGACACCACCAACGATTCCACCCATGACAAGCGCCAGCACGAGAAGTGCTTGAAGCCTGGCAGCGCCAGCTTTTCCGGCGGTCAACGCAACACGAGTGCTGGACACACATGCTTTGGCACAGATTTGGGGTACGGGATTCCCACACTGAAGTTCTAAACGCAAAGCAACGAAATTGATCCACGTAGGTAAGCTGCTTCGTCATGAACTTCGCACGGAAGCTAAGAGGGTGTCTTAGTCTGAGGTGTGGCAGTGCTGCCGCATGCTACTCAATTGCTCAGGTGGATGCGGAAATGCCTTGATCGGCCAAACCTTACCCCAAGCCTGGACTTGTGAACGTCCCAGTGAGGCCCCAGAGTCAAACCAAAAAAAACACGACAACAAATGCAGAACCCTGAATGCTCCTCAGCTGCGACAGGGACAGGGCTTCGTCCTGCACCCTCTGAGCGGGCAAGATGCCTCGGAGCGACTGCAAGCCCGAGACCTCTACCGAGAGTGGGGGTCTACATCCTCATGGGAGTTACCATATCTTACCATGACTCGCGATCTTTACCTAGCGGCCTAGCGTGTATCAGGCGACATTCGCCACACACCTGCTCTCAGAACAAGGGAGCTGAGCTGAAGGCAGGCTATCAACGCCAGCAACACGAGCAGTGGCCTTGCAAAGCTCACTGCTCACAAGGACTCCGTGAACTAAACGGATGCTGGCATGCCGAGTGGAATCCGTGCCATTGTGCTGCAGCTTGGTCCCCAGCCAGTATGCAAAGCAAATGACGGGAAACAGCATTCCCCCAACGCACTTGAAGTCTCTTGCTGCCTGCCCCAACAAGTCTGCATCGGGAAATCGGAGATATTACAGCTGACACACATATCATGTCTGGTTCAGCGACCTTTCGCGACTGGTCGCCAATGCACAAACAGGCCAAGAATGCGCTACTATATTGGCAAGAATGCGCCGTTTTAGCCTCGTAGAGAAGCAGCATCATGTCACTGCGGAAAGCTTGTGCCAGCTGCCCCTGCATCGAGGTGGCTTATCCCCGAGCCACGAGACTACTCGAGATGTTCTGTGCTTTCTGGTTGGACTCTCAAACCGTTCAGTAGCAGCTCTCCAAGCACGATGTGATGACGGCAGTATGCTGAATCATGAAGACTCCGAAGCGGATTGTGGCCAGGTCGTTCGCAACTGCTGCTCTCGGCCGCAGCTTCAAACAGAACACCCCGAAGACCCACGCATCAAGGGAGCATGCCGTTCAGATTGCACGGGTCCCAACAGCATTGACTGCGATGGCTCGGAGCTCAGTGCAGCCACAGCCGAGCACCTGCTGCAGCCATTGCACCAGCTGGCGTGGCCTTAATGTCACTGCAGCCGCTCCTTCAGTCGCAGTCAGGGAAAGCCCAGCGACATCTAAAGAGAGAGCCTCTGAGCTCTCGACAGATACTTCTGCGCTTCTCGAGGCACTGCAGGCACGAGAGACCTTGCAAAGCGAGCCCCAAACCGAGTCTCACACGTCCAAGTTGTCGTGGCAACAATATTGGATTACTTGCAGGAGGAATCTTCACCGAAACAGGAACAGGCCAGCAGCACCTCTCATAGAAGTGCAGCATGTTGTCCTGAGATAGCGCTTGACTATGAGGAAATTTCTGCCCTGCGCTGAAGAACGACTTGGGTGAAGATTCGGCTTAGGATGCAGCTGCGACAAGTCTTGGAGAGTCACCCAGAGCTGTGGCGCGCCTCGGCAACGACAGATCATGGTGGACATGGCGATACGACAGGCAACTGCCGTGGCAACAGCCGCGAGTTGGCGCTTGGCTGGAGTAATCTGAATCGCAGTGGGAGCGATCAGCATCAGGTAACAAGAAAGCTTTTCATTGCAAGATTGCTCCTAGGGAGAACAAGCGGGGCAAGCTGCAAAACATCCACATCATCGTTGCCACATTCCCGTCAGATGTAAGGCAGGAGCACGTTTGGTGGCACAGCGATCAAGAACACATTGCCTCTCGGCAGCCGGGACTGAGGGCAGTGTGGGAATGTGAACTTCAGGCTCCGTGCACGAATGTCATAAGTACTGAAATCAGAATCCAGAATCGAGACTTCGCAGATACCTGACCCTGCCACGCATGCGACCCCGCACGACAGCTTGCAAAGATTCTCTGTCAGAACAGCGCAAGACCTGCCTGCCCCTCAACACAGTCAGTCGGAATTGCAGGCAAGTTTGTCAAATCTACACATCATCCAAACGAGAAGATAGACTGCAACGCCAAAATGCGGCATCACAAGTTCTTGAGCAATGCTCCGGATGCTTCTCATTAACTCGGGTCTGCAACGTGTGAACTCACCCTGAAGCAAAACCCCAGATTCCATTGTTTGCCGAGGTGCAGATTCGGTGCAGATTCACCAAAACCCCTTCACCCCTAAAGCCCAAAATCCTAAACCCCAAACCATAGGCCCTAAACCCCAAACCCCAGCCTGCCTGCCAGGAAGGCCAGGATAAGGGTGGATCGAAGCGGCCTCCTTCGCATGTCCACGGGCCTCGGCGAGGAGGTTGAAGGCACTCCCACCCATCTGCGAATTTAGGGTTTAGGGTTTAGGGTAGTAGGGTTTAGGGTTTAGGGTTTAGGGTAGTAGCTAAGTAGTAATAGAAATAGCTGCAATAAGAATAGCAATCGCAGTTTCATCAGAAACTGAGAACAGCAAGCATAACCATCATCGTAGTACTAGCGAAACTGTAGAACATTAAGTGGCATTAAGACGTAAAGAACTAACAACAATGCATAAAGACTAAAAGAACTATCATCAACGGCAATAACAGCAGCAGCAACAGTAACAGCAACAGCAACGGCAGCAACAG